GACACGTGGCGGGGGGGGGGGGGGGCAAGGGGGCAGCTGTGGGAGAAAGGCCAACTATCTAATCCTGGCCACTGCCTTCATCATTAACGTAACAGCACCTCTCTCAAAGCACCTAGGTTCATTTAACAAAGCTCTTTCCTTACAGTACTTGGCAGTCCCTGACCTTCCCGTTCCTCCTGTGAATGGGATCAGATAGTCCCAGCACCACCCTCCCCCACCGCCCCTGAAAAATCTTGGTCTGGGGACGTAACCCTCATTTTGCAAAAATACCTTCCCTGGGTAGCTGGAAGGTTTGCTGGGAGCTAATGAATCCCACAGCAGAGGAAGAAATAAGTGGGGAGGATGAAAAAGCAGAGCCGCCCTGGTAAATACCTGCTCCATTTTACATCTTTCAGATACCTTGTGAAAACGGTCTGTTTCCCCTACAGAAATTGTAACTATTTGGGGAAGGAGGAGCAGGACAAATTCGTGAGAACCAAAATTACACACATTGCTACATTTTGTGCAGAAATATTAGCAAAAGAGAGACTGCTTCATTGCTGCATTTGGTCCGGTCTGTCATTTGCACAGACTGAAACTGTCCCGTGGCTGGCTGTGATGATACTGGGCAGCATTTTGAACGGCCCCTCAAAGGGCTTTAGGACTCTTAAAGGAGGGAGAGGGTTTAAAAATGCAAACCTGCATCATTACAATCAGCCGCTGATATGCAAGGACACTATAAAGACAAAGTGAGAAGATTGGTGGGGAAACAGGAGTATTCGTTTGCTGGCATCTGCTGTCAGTTGGTAAAGCTGAGACAATTTTTCCTTCGCTAAAACAGAAATTGTTCTTTTTTCCAGCTGTCACTTTTTAACCGAGGCAAAAAAAAGTGGGTTTTATATATACATATTTTTGTTATAAAATGACACCATTGTATTTTTAAACGAGATAAGTGTTCGCGCCAGGCTGGGGACAGCATCTCCCACTGCTCCAACCACATCAAAGGCAGGACGAGGGAGCTAGAGACAGGCACTGCAGCCATAAGTGTGAGTTTCCTGGATTTGGGGTGTTTAAATCTGACCATCATTATTTTCCTCTGTTTTTTACGAATGCGTTTTTAGAAAAGCGGAAAAAAAAAAGAGAGAGTGAAAGAGCGAGAGAGAGAAGGGGGAGAGGGAGGGAGGGAGAGGGAGAGATCCTTTTCATAGGCAAGAGGCAAGAAATAACCTGAAAGGGAGTTAGGGAAAAGGTCTAGCAGGTAGTACAAAACACAAAGTCAATGCTGTTTACTACAGGTATATAGATAGCCTAATAGAAATTTTTACTGTCTTAAAAAACTTCTGAGTGCCGGGTAGCAGGACCCTGTAGGAAAATGCCAGGCCCTTTAAAACATAACCGGCTTGCCTCTAGCAATTAATCGGAAACAAAAAAATCAACGCCCGATGGCTTCACAACTTTCCTACAGCCTGTCACCCGCTGCTCCCTCAGCAGTGGGAGACGGGCTGGAAAAGCAACCCAAAAGAGATAACCTGAAAACGAGTGGAAAAGGCAAATCTGCATGGGAAAAGGCAAATCTGTCCCTTCCACTCGTTTTCGACGGCAGCGCCCAGCCATAAGACATTGCCCCACGGCACCGACACAGACTCGCAGTCGGACCCTCGCCCAGCGCTGCTCGCCGCGGTCCTACCTGGCGAGACGGAGGGCGAGGGAGGTCTCCAGAAATCCTCAAACTCGGACACCCTGTCACAGACGCTGCCCTCGCAGCTGGGCGCCGACTCAGAGGTGCCATCGGCAGCCTCGGTAAGGTGGGATTCCGGGGAGAAGCGCCCCTGGGAAGGCTCCGGATCGGGCAGGACGGTGCGGCACAGCCCCGCGTCCTCGGGGATCTTGCTGTCTGCAGGGTAAAGGGGGGGAGCGGGCTCCTCAGTGCGGGTCGGCGGTGGGAGCCAGCCACCTCCCGCGGCGGCCCTGCTCCCACCAAGGTGTGCTGCCGGACCCGCTCCAGCCCCGCACTGGCCCCTCCGGCGTCCCGCGGGGTCTGCGGTGCCGGGGGGCTGCACAGCTACCGGCCGGTGCCCGTGCCGCTGGCAGCGGGGCAGTGCGGGCGGGTGGGCTGTGTCCGCCGCAAGCGAGGCTGCGACCGACGGACTCCTACCTGCACAGATCTGGGCTAGCACCGTCTCCAGCCGCAGGCTGTAGTCCTCGTCGGCGGAGCGGGGCTGGTGGTAGCTGTGCGCTTTCTTGCTCTTCACTAGGAAGGACCTCGGCATGGTGGGGTGCTGCCACGGCCGGCGCGGCCGCACTCCCTCTCCAAAAGCCGGGCACGGCGGCGGCGAGCGTCACCCCCGACTCTCCCGCGGGGC